ACTTACCCTATACATACAGTTCCTGCCCGGGTCTAATACCCTGCCCTTAACACTTACTGTCTTTTATGAATTTGTTAGTAATTGCCTTCTTTAAGCTCTGTTGGTTTGTGAAGTCATGCTTGCATTCTGTGACACCTGCAGAGGTTTTAATGTGATCCATCATTCCCTTAGCTGGAATGCAGTGATCCATCTGATTGCTTTTAATCAGTGTCTATCCAAAGTAAAAAGATTCTTGTAAACCACCTCCTGTGTTAGTTACTAAAGCCTCTTAAAGATTTATTTTGGTTCGTGGTTACATTTGATCTCTGACAGCTTTAACGCATCAGGCTGGAATCTATTTCCCAGATGCTTTCGACTTTAACTCTATTCCGTCCACAAAAATAAAGCACATTGCAAAAAACTATTACATAGTCTAGAGAAAGAACAGAATTTTTTTTTTTTTTTTTGGAGTGTAATATAACATTTCTGGTGTACATTTACTTATATTTATTGGTTTATTGTTTATTGCAGATCTTTCACCAAAATTTTAGTTCTTCTATTGTCTGTAAAGTATGTGGATGCCATTTTTATTGCGAGTGTTTTTAATCAAATGTTATTCAATCAGATTTATTGCTTGGCAATTTGTCTGTAATTTATTTCTCCACTTCTATATAACAAACTGTTATATATGAGCTTACAGTAGTTTTATAGACAGTTTCTTTTTATAACATACCACCCTAGAGACGTGTTCCTACACAGCTCAAAAAAAAAAGATTTTTATCAGATATAATAGAGATTAAGCTGATTCTTCTAACTCATCCGTGTTCTCTTTTCTTACTTCATTCTTACCACTTTTACCTATTATGCTTACCTACTCTGCACTGAATTCTAGCAGCAGAGTTGGATTTGCTCATCAGTTTTCGTAGCGATGAACAATTAAACATAAGAAGAAGGTTCTTTATGGTTTAAACTACCCACTCCAAAGTAATTTCTTGTTGATAACCATCACCACTCTATTTCTTACTAAAAAATTTCCTTTTCCTTAAAAAGCATATGAAATCATATGATCTAAAACTTGGTGGACTCCATGAGACTGAAACAGGAAAAAGCTGTGTAATAATTTCATACTATACTAGGCTGCCTATTTTAATACTTTATATTGACAAAGAAAGATAAATATTTATATTTGGCACTATTACTAATCACTATTTCTGCAGACAGAGAAAAATACTTTTCAGGCTTTCTTAAAGACAGAATCTGCATGCCTAATTATCTATTTTGTAGGGTTAATCTTTACAATGATAACTTTTTTAATATATCAATATCTCATATAGTATATATATAAATATATACATATATTTAATTGTGCTTCGGCACCAACTGCTGAAGCATAATGATTCAGTGTGTAAAACATTATCAGGAAAGTAATCCTGTTATGTATTAAAAATATATATACACTATCAGAATTGTGACTTTGGGAAAGTATTCCTACACTTCTAGTTAAAGTCACAGTAAGGTTAGAAAAGAAAACAGGATAAAGAAAAGAGAAAAAAGAAAATAAAAGGTAAAAAAATAGAAAAAGAGAAAAATAAAAAAGAAAAGAAAAAAAAGGAAAGAAAAAAAAAGGAAAGAAAAGAAGAACAAAGAAGAGAAAAGCAAATAGGAGAAAAGGCATATATCCAACTTCACTGATCTGATTTAGCCAAGCCTGTAGTCAAAGGAAGTCCGCTGGAGCCTTTAAGGGATGATTTGGAGCATCTTAATTGAGTTTCTGTTCTCTTCCCCTCACCATCACCACTCCCCAAATTATCAATGGAGAGAGGGGCCTAGGGGAAACAGCTGAGGCTTTTCCTTTTAATATGCTAAGTGTTCTTTCAAATAACTCTAATAGTTAAAGTTCAGGTATCAGTAATATTTTCAGGTGAAGTCTGGTCTGCAATTACACTGGAATCAAATACAGTCAGTTATTTTTCTCCCCTTCCCCGCTTCCTGCCGCCCCCCCCCGGAAACTTCTCGTATAAAATCAAGTAATACCACCTTCTTGAAAAGCCTGTTTATCATTCAAACCTAAAGAAATCGGGGCAGGTCTCAACAAGTCTTCCACTCACATTCAGCAATCTTAATTCTTTCAAATTCAGTTGCAAAATCCTACTACTGAAACTGGAGGCAAAGTTCCTTACTTTACATGCATACACAAATTTCAGTATATAGTCTATGTGTGCTGATCAATGTTTACAAAATTTACTTATTCTGCAAAAAGAAAATGCTTTTTTACTAGTACTGAGGCAAAGATTTCAACATGTACTTACAATAAAAGTCTAATCCCTTTTGTTACCAAGTAATTATTTCAGCCATATTTAGATGAAAAAGACTAATTTATAGTATGAGCTTTCATGACTCTGAACAGGATATCTCACCTACTACTGATGAAATCAAAATTATTTTAAATCTTCTTTAGACACATTGTGGTTAATTGCAAGGAGTGACCAACGAAAGCAGACAAGTACTAGACAGGAATTCCATCCTCCTATTCTGCTAGCGTAAGCCTTCCAGAGGATGTACTAGTCAACTGTGGCAGAAGGGACATTTATTTAAGAACAGTAGAAAACATATGGTATCAAAACATTTACAGCAAATATAAGTAAACAACCAAACTACTGAGAAACAGAATTGTAAAGATTGTTTTGTGAGCAAATGCAAAAGTACTTCTGACAGTATAAAGACAAATAAAAGAAGTATCAATCCAACCAAATAATCGTGTGAAAAAACAGACATTTTCCAGATAATGCTTTTAAAAACTGGAAATCGATGATTAAGAGGAAAAACTAAACACACACAGATGTCAGGTTATGTTTTTGAATTGTGCTTTTTCTCTCTGATTTCAGTGCTGTTGTCAGTTCCAGCAGTACTAAGAGAATACTGTTCAAACTGGAACTGAAACAGAATTTTCAAGTACATCTAATTTAAAAAAAATAGATTACTAAATCTTTGAGCAGTGTATTAAGGCAGTTGTCATTAGCATGCTACCCCAGTTTCAATTTTCCTATGATTTTAGCTGGTGATGCTTTCTAACCAGTGAAGAGTCAATATTCTTAGTTGTTTGAAAGGTGATTTGCAACATTTCAGATGGTTTTATGCATTGTTTTCTGTCTTTTGATATATTAATCACAACTGTAGCCCCTTCTGTTGCAAATGTTTGATTTTAAAATTGTCACTTGTCAGCCAGTCCAATAGGCTATTTCAGAACCAATACAGTTAATGCATGGGAAGTTTGATGTTGAAACAATATTTATTTACATTCCCAGAGTGAGATGGTTTAATATATTCATGCTGCTATAAAAGACATGCTACAAAGCCTAATCGTATTTTGTGTATATACTATGTGTACAGAGAATCTTGCTTGTATTAAAATAAAAGAGAAATGAGGTTCTAAGTATCAATTTATAAAACAGTTCTTTGTAAAATATTAGTGTTTCGTGAAGAAACGTTCATTTAATGAAACATTGCCTACTGGTAAACCTCCATAGAAACAACCTTTTCTAAGATTCACAATAATAGTTCCCATCTATTTTTTTTTATGTTTGCATTTCATAAATTAGCTCACTTCCCCTCCAGAGAAACCCCTTCCTACACTTGCTGCACTAGATAAGCTACTCACACAGGGCAGACAGCAGTGTGAGTGATCATACTTGTCATTCATGCACTGACCTCCTGTAAATTCAAAAGCAAATGCAGACTTAAAAATGATGCTGCCCTTCCCCCAGACATGATTTTCTTTCTGCAACCTGTGGCTCTTTCCCAGCAGAACAGCTGGCAGATTTTATGGCTGCCATAGCAACCCTGCCGTCAGCGCGTTGGCTTGGCAACGTTGCAGCAGTGAGAAACACACTTCATGTCTCAACTGTCCATAGACGCACAGAGGTATTTTTTCAGGTGCCATTCTTAAATGCTTATTTACTGTTTGATTTAATAAACTTTGCAATAAAAAATCCTATACAGTCCTTATTTGCCAGTGAAATCAGATCATCTTCCCTGAAATCTTGCAAAGAATTAATATCCATTCCTTGTAATGTCACAGCAGATGGATCAAATCTCTGCAGCAGCTTCAACTGATCAAGTGGCAGTCCAGCTCCCCTCATGCCTTCTCCTCCAATGTGAGGCTCCTTTTTAAGCAACAAGGAAAAGCAAGTTATTGCATCAGTAAAGTTCTTAAATGCCCTATATGTATTCTGGTAAGTATATGCAGAGCTCCCTGTTCACATGGACAAGCTGGGTGTGTATCATTCATACCAGGGGAGGATTTAAAAGTAATGTGGCCCTTCTTTTCTTGGCTTCAGCTGGCCAGAATGTATAAAAGCATACATATAAGGTCCAAATTACTTTGAGGAGGTCGTGGTGCACCCTATTCACTTCAGCCCAGGAATTTAGCACACTTACTTAGGACAGGTGTACGGGTTTAAATCAATGCATTACTCAAAGGACAGAAACATCACAAGAAGGTTGTTATCACCAGACAATAAGGTCTAAAGGTTTTAAGTTACTACTTTTAAATGACGCAGAGCTTCTGTGTACTGACTGATAGCTACACGTTAAGTCAAAAATAGTGAATCCTTAGCCAGTTACCAATATACTCAGTAACAGTAGTAGAAATAACTGGATTCTTCACATTAAAAATTCAACTGGAGACTGAAAGCCCCATACCAAAATACTTTGCCACCTGAAGAGCTATTATTTATTTTGGAAGATGAAGCAGCAGAAAAATGTCAACTTCAGATTTTTTTTCATGTAATTTAGACTAATGGGTAAATGGGACTACTGTTACATGTGTAGGTATACGACGGTAGAGAAAGATAAAGGGAACAGTTTCACTATCTGAATTCAGGAGATAACATTTGGCATCAAAATCCTGGAGAGGAGAAGGGCTTAAAATCACTGCCCTTTTCTCAGTATTTCCTGTGAATAGCCTTGACTGCTTCTTGGTATAAATATACCGATTCCTGGAAAAACCTGATTCTTAAGTGGACTGTTCTTTCCATGCATTCAGTAAGAAGATACAACAAAATGTACAAAAGCTGGCATTGCAATATCAAAAATGAGTTTCCTTTGTAAATCTAGTGTAGTCTATCACACAGCCTACCACAAAGCACTTTTTTTGAGCCATCCCACTTTGCTAACACAAGCTCACCCAGTCAGCACATGATGCGATTTAGTTGCTTAACCACATACTGTATGCTGTAAAGCTGGGCAGCCGAGCATTTGCAGCCTGATTCTTTCCTTCCTTTCTCCCAGCAGGACTTCAGTGCTTTCCAGGTAAGAGACAAAAAGAGGTGTCCCTTGCAAATTGAGAAAAAACAATATACAAAGGGAGACAAGGATAGCAACTCATAGTGGATGGAAAGTTAGAAGCCTAGGGAAAACACTACTACATTGCGTCAAGCAACTTGCTCAAAGACAGACCAGTTTTCTCCTCTACTTTTTCATTTTTCCTTCCAGTTAATTTACTGCATTTAAGCTGATATACAATATCTATCTCTCATGTAAGCCCCTAAGAGGAAGTAAGTAAGTCTGCACAGACAAAGGATCAACTGCCATGCAGTAACCTCCACCTACGAGATCAACACCCAAGGCTCTGTCTCCTGTTCATTCCTTACCTAACATGATTCCAGGACCTGTTGCTAATTTGAGAAAATGGGAGACACTTAATTGATTATATAAGGAAGCTTTCACTGAGAGACTAGAATAATATGAGAAATACATAAATGAACATAAGGTAAGTCAACCCTAGAGTGCAGTTCCTGTTCATTGGAAAAGATCACCTGACTACCAGGGAACTGGTTGTAAAATACTGCAGACTTTCTGTGGGTAAACAATTCAGTATCATCTCATTTAAAATATACTATAAACAAAGCTTAATTTTTACAGATAAGGCATTTGTGTGCGAAAATTAGAGCTTTATTCAAGACTGATATTACTGGTGAGAGGAAGCTTATTAAGCAGGAATTAATCTTGCATTTGAGTTAACATGCCTTCTGTTTTGCTTTATTGATCAATCAAGGACAATTTTTATGCTGTTAGGTAAATGTATAATCTCAGTTGAAACAGCTGGAACTAAAACATTCCTAATAACTGGATGGTGAGAAAACAGGCGGAAAAACCCTGACACAATTTTTTAAGAAAAGCTTCAGTTCTGTTAAATCTTTACCAGCCTTCATACAATTTTTCATTGTACATCTGTTGTATATATTTTTTAAATTTCAGTTAAAAGATGCATCTAAACTTCTTAAGACAGATGCAAGTCATCACAATATATAAGTTAGCTAAACAGGTTAGACTCTTCCTCAAACTATGGTGATAAACAACTAATGCACCCAACTCACACATCAACAAAGAGGAAGATTGACGCATATGGCCTGATGATAAATTCTTTCAAGGTAGTAATAAAGGTAACATATTTTTTAATGTATTTAGTATAGATAAAAGATTCTACTATCTCCCTATATATTACCTCCTCCTAGACTTACTTATTAATGGTAGACAGTGACTCTAAAAATGACAAGGTACATTCTTGGGACAGTGAGACTGAAATAAATTTGTTCCCTCATTCCTTTACATAATGCAAATATAGCTCCCATACATATTAAATCCTCCTTCCTCAAAACATAAGGTTCTTTCCATTTATCTCCCATCCTTTAGGCAAGTCTTCACTACTTCAGTGGCATTAATAAAAAATTTTTCACCTCTTCTGTGAATGTGCAAAAAAAGATAACAAAATATATGCATTAAAGAACAACTGCAAGAGAATTTTTTACCCTGTCTGAACTATCTCTTGTCCCTTTTGTGTTTTAAATGACTTGTACAAATCAAAACAACTATGGCACACAGTGAGAAACTACTTAACGATCCCTAAATGAAGCTAAATTAAACATGTAAATAGATCTGAAAGAGCCTCAGAAATGCTTGTGTTATTTCTATCCACAGCAGTTAAAATTGTCTGCAGTGAAAAAGATTTATTGATAGTAAATATAGCGTGTATCTTCACAGTGCCAAAACAAGCTCACTGGATTGTGTGAAATACCCTGAAAACACTATTACCTGTGGCTGAAGCTGGAGGCATGGAAAAGTTTTCAGGGCCCAAGCAACTTGCTCCTCATTTTCAGAGAGTGTAATTGTACATGTACTATATACTAAAATACCTCCTGGTTTCAGCAATTTCACTGCCTGCAGGGAGAAATAAACACCAGTTCAGCTTATTTTTAAATGCAAAAACTTTCATATTAAGCAACACTAACCAAGAAACCATTAAGCTATAATATGAAAACTTAGCACTTAATTAAACTCAAATCTTTCTGTCTGAGACAGGCATTAGGATATTAATTCTTCTCAGGAAATACAGTAAAGGATCCCACGGATTACAAAGATTCTTCTTCCCAAATCAGCATTATAGCTCTTGCAGTTTATTAATGCCATTGTGATGATTCATCTTGTAAGATTTGTTATTTGTACAGCTCTGCATATCCCATACAAATTAGTTCTGTTTTCATCACCTGCTGCCAGCCATGTATACACAGTATTTTTATCAGCGATATTACATGTCAACTGTTTCCACATATTTGGCATGGAAGCTATAGATAACGCTGCTTTTCAAGCTGTGCTTCCCTCTGAATACATATAATTCAGCTTTAGAAAAGCTTCATGGAATCTTGTCTTTAAGAATCAGCCCAAGCACACCTCTACTAGCATGAAAAATACAGCCTCCTGGCTTTGTACTCCACCTCATACCTCATGCAGTACCTCACAGCACCACTGCATGGGAGTTCTATGCAGTGAACTTACAAGAGTCTGTGCTGCTGCAGACAGAAGACTTTAACCTGCCCCATGACTTACTAGAAACTAAAAGTGATGAAACTGAAGGAATGAAAAAAAATAAATCATAGAATACCAGGTTGGAAAAAACTTCAAATATCACCTGGTCCAACCTTTCCTGGCAAAGCATGACCTAGACTAGATGGCCCAGCAGCCTGCCCAGCTGAATCTTTAAAGTCGAACACTTGAGGAGTCCACCACTTGACTGATAAGATTATTCCAATGGCTGACTGTTCAATCAGAATCTCGCCAGGAGTAACCTGTACTCAAAACTCTTCACCTCTTCCATGTTAATCCTTGTAAAAAGGGTATCTCCACATCCTTTGAAGTCACCCTGTAAATTCCACAAATGGTGATAAGGTCTCCCCTGAGCCTCCTTTTCTCAAGGCTTAAAAAACCTGGTTCTCTCAGGCTTTCCTCATGGAGTAGCTTCCCAATCCTTTGATCACCTTTGCAGCCCTTCTTTGCATTCTTTCCAGCCTGTCCACATATTTTTTGCATAGCAGGGCCCAAAACTGAACACAGTATTCCAGGTGTGGCCTGACAAGTGCTGAGTAGAGTGGGACAATGACTTTATCTCTGCTGGTGTTCTTGTTGATATAACCCAGCATCTTGTTGGCTTTCTGTGCTGCAGCAGCACACTGTTCACTCATACTGAGCTTGTTGTCCACCAGGACCCCCAGGTCCCTTTTCTACGAGCTGCTCCCAGTCAGGCAGATCCCAGCTCCTGGACTGTGTTTTCCTAGGTGCAAGACCTTACACTTGTCCTTGCTGAACATTGTAAGTTTCTTGTTAACTCACTCTTCCAACCTGTCCACTTCACCCTGCACAGTGGCTCTCCCTTCCGAAATGCCCACTTCCCTGTGAATACAAAGGGTTTTATTTACTATAACTTACATACACCTTTCCCATGCTCCAGTGAATTGATTTCACCTAGCAGATATGGTGCAGCTGAGAGGTTAACTGGATCCTAACACTTCTTTACTTAACTGTTGAAAAGGCAGGGAAAATGAGGTACCGTTTTTCAGTATGAAGTTTTATGTTGCAAAAGCATTTATGGTCAGTATAGCTCATCTACTCAATGATTAATACATACCACCGTGAAAAGCTTGCGCTGCAGTGGTTTGTAAGAGGTCACTTCCTTTAAAGTTGATGTATAAGCCATGTTTGGTCTCTGCCCCATCCCACTACATGGAGCATCAAGGAGAATTCTGTCAAATGACTCTGGTAAGAATGGAGGTCCTTCTGTAAAAAGCAGTAATGCGAAATGTGGCTGGTTTTTACTTTGAGACTTCACCATAGATAAGGACAAGCTGTTACTGTATCTACAGAACATTTATGCTATAGATGATAGTGTCTCTCAGCTGGAGAGAAGTCTCAGCATTGCTTGTGGTAGATTTCATCTTCCAGAAAACCAAAAAGTTAGTTCTGTGAGCTCAAACAATACATGATCTCTTTAGGCAATAAGATCTTTTTAACCTTAATAATTCAAAAGTAAAATGTAAAAACGATCAAACAAAATGTTGAAATATGATTGGTCAGAGGTGCTGGCTACAGAGTTGTACATATAGGCTGCAATGAACCAGTCAGCTCATAACTGAATCAAGTGTGCAAATCTTCACAAAGAGAAGCCTGCAATTAAGGCAGCCAGTAATAATAATACTGTCTATATAATAACTATTTCTTGCAATGCATATATTTCTGTAGAAATAAAGCACTTCAAAATAACATGAAATATTACATGTTCTAATATGTGACATGTGCTGTGCCCACAGCAGAACAATTCAGGAAACAAGGATTGTGAAGACAAGAACAGTTTTTGAATATCACCTGGATAGATAAGGGAGTATGTAACTTCTGTTTGCAGAGCCTATCCTTTCACCTGAATCCCACTGACTCAACAGCCCAAAAGTTTCTATCGCCTCAGGGCTACAGAGACACTTCAGATCAGCATCACCAAGACAAAAATGGCTCCATACATATATCTGTGAGTATCTAATGAGGAAGAGAGACATACATATATGCTTTACCTCCCTTCTTCCTTCAGTTCCTCAAATATTCAAGCTGGGTTACAAGTGAAAACAAGTGAGTGACTTCACACTACTACTACCTAGCTTGTTCTAGCACTACAAAATGAGTCTATCGTCTATCTATGTCTGATCCATTACTAAAACGTTCAAAATATGCCATGTCTTACTTGCAGGGACCTACAGAAAAGCCTTCATAATCTCTCAGTAATACAGCTAGCTCTTGTTCATCTGTGTAAGTGCTACATACCACCTACAATATTTTATGTTCACAGAAAGACTTTAAGAAAGTACCTTTATTCCTCCAAAGCAGAAGTAACAGTAAGGCACAGAGACAGTGAAGGTGAATTATGCAACCTGATTCCTATTTAGGCTAACCAGTGACTGGGATAATATACAGTGAGAAAGAACAGCATACTTTGCACAACAAACTAAAAATAATCAAGACAGAAGATACCACTTAAATCATTCCATCATGGGAACAGAACCAGTATCATAAATACAGCACTTCAGAAAAGCAAATTAAATGAACTTAAAATAATACACTGTGCTTCTATAGAACTTTCTCTTGAACAGCTGAACAAACATCAATGAACTAAACCTTGCAGCACTCCTGGGAGTTAGGTATTAATAACCCATTTTACAAATAGGATTCTAAGGCAGAAAAGCTGAACAATTCTGCAAAATATTTTTTTCTCTCAGAGTAAGTAAGTCATTTCAGAGCATGGGGTTAAACATTACCACGAAAGAAGGTTTAAAGCTTCTTCAGTCTTTGATATTATCTGAGAAAGAAATGCTCTTCCTTTGAGCATATTAGGTTGTGATAAGGACAGATAGTTTGTGTTTGCCTCATGGAGAAGACGATCATCACAAAAGACTAGAAAATAAATGAATTCACAGTGCTAAAGCAACTTAAGTATCTGCCAAGATTTTAAGGACTTGCAGACCTGTGGCAGTTTTAACACCATTAGTGCAAAACCTTAGTATTTTATTCGAAAAGCTACGACCCGAGTTACATTACCTGGTTCATCCTCTCTCTTCTCATCTGAAAGTGCCTTTGTTCCATCATAGCAAAAAGCCTTAATGCAATTCAACTGCAGCAATTCAGCATTCTGCTTAATTTTTTTGACCTTGTTAGCTATCTTGTCCATGGCTATTACTTCACCCTGAAAAACAGATGAATTCTTCACCAGATGCATAGGGATTAAATGGATGTGAAGTTCCTGATTTCCTTCCCCTGCCATGAGCAGTGCAACGAATGAAGCTTAGTTTTCCCTGCAGAATTTTGTTATTCTTAAATCCACACTCACACAGCCCTTGTTCACCCATATTTGCCATGATACGCTCATCAGGCTAGATACCAGTCTGAAGCTGTGTGCATTCTGACTGGCACTAGATGCATAGTCACTCCCCAAGGGACCCTATATTGTGACTAATGGCAAGTGGGGTTTTTTTGCTTGTTTCTTTTTGTTTTGTACTGTTTTGCTGGGAAATAGGTTAAAATGGAATCATTTAAAAGGGGGTAGAAGTCTCAAATGCACGGTAAAATAGGTCAACAGATTTTAAATTTGCATGGAGATGGTAAGAAACATGATCAGATCCAGCTCACTGCTGAGGAAATGAGGCCCACATCCATGCCTCTGGCTTGCTCAGGCTCAATATACTGTTAGAGTTGCAGTAGTTGTCACTCAAGTTACTTTGGGATATACAGTAAATACTAGAACAAATTTTAGATGTGGGGGTAGAGGAATGACGATTACGCATTATTCATTTTATGTAAGATTTCTCTTTTCCTCTCCCAAGATAAATCAAAACACACACACACCACTATCTGCTAGATGAAATCTGTAAGCACAAAGAAAAGTAAAAAGTAGCATCAGTAAAATCCAGAACAGAAATACCATCTTCAAGAAAACCCCAAAGGCCACAGTCTTCTACTAGACTGGCCATAGCAAACAGAACCTGTTGAGAAAACACGACAACTTTTTTCTATTTGGTGATGGCACTCTAAGGGCTTATGGAAGGGTAACACAACTAAGATAGTGTAATTACTTTTATTTTAGTTATTAAACTGTTCTTAACCCATGGGCTTTTACCTTTTTTTCCAATTCTCTTCCCCACCCCACTGGGGAGATGGAGAGAAGTGAGCAAGAGGGTGCATAGTACTTAGTTGCCAGCTGGGTTTAAACCGTGTGCTGCTGCTTCTCACCTATCACTGTTCAACCTATTGCGCATTCACACTAACAACTGATTGTGCTTCAAAGTTAGATCTGTTGCTAAAGCAGTGAACTTGCTACACAGGCACTGTACTGTGGATAGAAAGAGGTAACTCCTTCTCCTGAGAGACTCTCAGAAAAAAGAGCAAACTGAAAGACGTCTTCTCTTACCTGATCATGCATTAATGCTGCAAGATGAGTTGTTTTTCCTCCAGGTGCAGCACACATATCCAAAATTCTCTCTCCTGGCTGAGGGTTTAAAATATGGCTCACAACCACAGAAGGCAAGTTCTGTCAAAAAAAAACCAAAACAACAAATAAGGGAGAATTCAAACCTTATGTCCTCTATCAAGTCTTTTGTATCAAGGAATGACAGACTCGTTGAAACAAAAATTCATTCAGCAGTGAAGATACCTATGATATTGCTTTCAGATCCCTAGCGAAAATGAACTATTGCAACTACATAAAAGAGACAGTCAGAAATCTGGGGTCAGAAATCTCCAATGGCTCTTTTTTTATTTAAAGCTTTATATGAAGATCTATGACTGAAGTTTAAGGGTTCATGACTATGGAGACTACAGTGCTAAGAGTCAAAATAAAATAAGCTGATACTATCAGAGAAACTGAGCAACTCTGTATATTACAATTATTTTACACTGGTATTTACTGGAACATTTACTCTATGAACATACTGGTGTAGTATAGCAACAAGCAGTAAGATCAACAGGCAGGAGTTTAAACTTGCTGAATTAAGGTACTGAGAAGCTGAACTGTGCTATTAATGGTATAAACATAGCAGATGCATTGAAGAGAAATAATATGCAGTAACTGTTCACAGTACTGCATTTTACACAATATGGCAATACGCTGAAAGATTCTCTTTAACTTGGTTCAACACAAAGATACAAAAACCTCTTAAAGTTGTCTTTACTATGTGTTGTCTTTGTTTAGCACAGTGTTCAAAAAAAGTCACAATAATTCACCTCACACATGGCAAATTCAAGCCAAAAAAGCTGGAACAAAGGGTTGTAAACAGTGGCACAAATTCCAGCTGGCAGCCAGTCAACAGTGGTAACTGAAAGTTACTAGAAGTATCTGTGCAAAAAGAATTTTAAGTGAGTATTTAAATCACTTTGAAGTCCCTTACTATATCTCAAATGCAGTATGTTTAAACACGCAGTTACTGATTCCATTCTAAATGGTTTGTTTTCTTTAAACCCAAAGAGTGAATTAGGTGCCACATTTATAAAGTAGAGAATATTCATCATTCTGCAAATAGTACAGACTTTACTTTTTGTAATAAACATACCTGTAAAAACAATTGACTAGGGAGCACATTGTCAAAAGAAGGACTAAGGTAGACTGGCTCTACCATTCTTATGCCCAGCCCACTGAAAAACATGAAAAAAAAAATAAATCAACTACTCTGATTTATTATTTATAACAGTATTCAATTAAAATCATTACGCTTACAAATAGAAAATTGGAACAATAATCTCACAAAAATAAAAACATATATAAATCAACTAAGAAAAATTACATGATTAAGTTGGGTAAACCAGAACAAAAAAGCTACTATGTTATAAATTGTAAATAGCTGTAAAAATTTATTTTTATAAAAATTTTTATTTTTTGTACACAAGACAAACTGAGATCTAATCCAAGCCTTGATAATGTAAAGAAATGCATTAAACCAGACTGTGTTAATTTCAAGCTATAACTGCTTTTGGCTAGCCATGTATGCACTAGGGAACTGGCATATGATTTCTCATTTAGGTCTTCCTCCATTTTCCTAGATTGGTCTGAGATTTCAGATTTCAGTAACTAAAGAAATGCTATTTCAAAAACCTTACTGGAATATTGATTAGCCTGCAACACAAAGGTTTGAGCTTAGAAGCAACCTAGAAATTTTAAATATGGTTGAAGTTCTGACAAAGATTTCACTAAGACAAAAAGAAAATGGCCAACAAGACAAACAAGGAGAAAGCAAACTTGCAGACACCAGATTTTGTGTTACATGCTGCCACTCCCTGTCATCAAGTTAACGGGTACATCCTACCACTACTTCTACTATATTTGAGCTCTAATGTATCAGAAATTCTCTGACAGTGTAATTTCTATCTTTTTATTTTTTTAACTAGACCCTTTGTAGTTTGTTCTCAGGATGTGAAGTCTTGGTCGTTAATCTAATGTCCATGCTCTTCTACCCTGCTTTTTGTATGTATTTTAGTATAGCATACCTTAGTATTTTAGATGACAAGAGAACAAACTGTATGCTTTGGCAACAAAAGAGAAAAGCAAGTAATCTTGAAATAGGCAACTACCTTGGCAAATGTTTGTTTGTTGGTTTGGTTTTTTTTTAAGGTATCTGACCTTATGTTCTATCCCCTGCTCCACCAAAAAAAGCCTTTACAAATATTTTTAGGAGATGAGAGAAAACAGCAAGGCTGTACTTCTGTTCCTTCCAAATAGGAAACTGTTCTGTTGATATAGAACAATTTACTGAAATGCAATTTTTCCATAGTGAGAATGTTTGTCACTTCTGTTTGTTCTACATTATTGAAGTTATATCCTACATAAATTCTGAAAAGGCTCTCATTCCTCTTCTCCTGCCTCTCAAGTAAACTGGTATCTGGTACTACCCTGAAACTAAATGTTGAGTCTTGTAATACTTTAGTACTTTGCAGTACTTTTGTAGTACTTTAATCAGAATTGATATCACACTACTGCTTCCTTATTTTCGGAGTTACAGAAGACAGCAGGAGGCACAATTCTATTATATTCCCGGAAACTAACACTTCCTAAAAATTACTGGAAATCCCAACATGTAACACAGGTCTCGGTGAAAGCCGCCTTGTGTTTTATAAGTGGTACTGAGCATTTCAAAATGTCTTCCTGTATTCCTTCCCTTTGCAGTTATAGGTGTAGATTGCAGTCACTATGGACTTACTTTAATGGGCCCTTTGAACTAAAGATTTCACTGCGACTCAGTTCGGAAATCCCATTTCCAAGGAAAACTTTGACTCCTTCAAATTCTTTGGCTCCTTTTTTACATTTCCCTTCAATATCTGAATACACAGAGACCAGATCTCCAGCTTTCAGAACTGCACAAAGAACGGAAATTTTGAAATTAATATTATACTTGACAAGACTGTAGTGACCAAATAATTCAGGTTTTTCAGTAGAGTATGTACTTCAACTCCTATATCATAGCAAACTTTAAACTTTCTTAATGTTATAAAACAAAAAGACTGATATTAAGATTTGAAAGAGTAAACGGTGAACAATGGCTACTAAATGACCAGAGCTATTGAGAGACACAAGGTTACAAATCAGACCATGCGTCTTGTTCTTAAAGAGGCCAGACAAATCTTCAGAGGTTTTTTATCACTGCATGGTCACCTGTAAGTTCTAAGCACACTCCTCAGGATTCAGTCCTCTGTGTATGCTCCAAGCCTGCAAGCATCACTTACTGTACAAAGGCAGTAATACTAAATTTGTCCAATGATCTCTCAATAGCTAGATACACAATAGCCATAGCTGCTTCTTCTGCAACTACTGCTTTGATACAAATGACTATATATTCTTGTTGAAATAATTTTTCTGGTGGTGCTCTCTTCGCTCTAAGGCAACTGCTGTTATCAATAATCCTCTAAAAGAGTTTTACATCTGGAATTAAATCCTTCAGAACAGTAAAGTATGTAAATACACACCAAATTTTAAAAGTTGCCTAGGGACTTTAACAAACTTTCTAAGCTAGAACAAAAAGAGATGGAGAAGAAAGATGGTTTAGGTGATTTTTTATAATAGTAAGCAAGCTCTATGCACTGACTGGCTGAAAAAATAAGCTTAAAAATAAAGGTCTCCACTGTCAGCAATAAACAGTTTTTAAAAATTATATTCCTGATGTGTCAGACTAGCCAAAGCAACAAGAAGATACGACAAGTAAGACTAATGGCAGTTCAGTGTCCCAACAACTCTCTGAAGCATAGAACAGCCTACTGTTATGGTCTGCTTAAACTTCACTGAACAAAACTTGCAGCAATTTAACTCTTCCATTAAGCATTTTTGCAGTGATTTTTTGCAGTATTCAAACATAAAGGATTTTATTTCACTCTCTTCTGACAATCGTGTTTTTGAAATGCATTAATACTGTGCATGGCTCTTTAGCTTTTTGTAGCTTATACTGGCATTCTATAAACATAGAGTCTGATTAGTTAAATTAAACTCAAAGCCCTCTGATAATTAGTTTACCCTCATTTGGGTTTCAAGTTCAGTGATTAAGTATGTTTTCTTGCTGTACTCTTTTTTTCCCTATTTAGACCATCTGTGCTTAATACAGCCTTATTATAGTTGGTCTCAAGTACGTAGGATGCCATTTTATTTTATTTTATTTTCCTATCTGCAATTCCCCTGAAGTGTTTCTAAAGTTTTATAGTATCTTTTATTTTCTTTGAATTGATGTTGCATGCATAATTACATGCAGCAATTATGATAAATCACTAGTTGACTCAAACAGGGATTTGAATATTTATGAGGTTGTCTAAATAAGCAGTTTCAACAACTGCCATGGCAATATACTTATTTCATTATCATTTCCTAGAATGAAAAACATCCCTGTTCAGTGAATTGGACTTAAGCACATGCTTAAAACTTCTTGAAGGTTTTTTCCTAAAAGGGAATGAAGTTAAGTGGCTAGATAAATGCTTTCCTGACTCACTTTGTTTAATAATAAGACCCATGATGACTAGTAGATCTCATCACAATAGAATAATGAGGTGAATCATCCAAAATTATACTGATTTTACATAAAGTTAATTTGACCTTTAAATAAAAAAGAAATAAGCTGCTGAACACCATGCATGCATATGTAGATTTTTTTATACTGGCCCATCAGGCACTGAAACAAAAATTTCCACTTTTTAAAAAATCTGCCATTAAAACTGAAAATTTTTCTCATCAATAGAAACTTTTTGTTAGATCTCTCACTCATAAACAATAGCAAATGAATTGCCAATGGATTTTTAAAAAAATCTATTTTTTTAGATCTCTAACTTAGAATCTGACAGGATCATGAAGGCAAGTGTCTTTGTGACTGAATAAAAAAAAAATAATATATCTGAAAGTAGTATCTATGAAATAATCAACATGCATCAACTTATCATCCAGATGTATCTGTTGTGGCATTCCTTTTGTTCTTTTTTTACAAGACTGGCAAGTGGTAAAATTCTGTGGGTTTATTCTACTGAACATTCATACTAAAAGTTTCAGTGTTCAGTAGTAAAAAAATCTCATAAAGAGACATATTTTACTTTCAACATGCTCTTTAAAATTATTTTCAAATGAAAATAAGAAACTGAAATCCTGGACAACTAAAACTTCTGCTAGGAATTACATATTGAAAAAGCAACTGTGAATAGGAAGAAAAATGTCACCATTTATTGGAAACTGTCATCAAGTGGTGACATTTTTTCTGTCCTCTTTACAACTTAAATTGGTGTATTATAGAATTCTTACATCTTGAGGTAGATATGATTCCAGGGACATAAACATGTGCTCCTCGAAGCACTGCATATCCACACTGGGCTCCAACAATGACTTCAGATGCATGTTTTTTTAAATCTCGCCTAAAAATACAAAATGCAGTTCAGTTTAAATAAAAAAAAAAAAAAAAGAGAAAAAGCATACTTGAAAAAAAATACCCTGCAAATGAAATCTAGTTCATAAATACTGGTTTTGTCACATTATAATAGATAGAATAGTTAACTATCCTGTATTAGATTGAAAAGAATTATTTTAGTCCCAGAGGAATCAAAGGAAGGAGCCAAGAAGGAAACCAGTCCTCGAAATAAAACATATTCTGGTACATTCTGCCACTATTATGAACCTGATGCTAGAATACAAATGAATTATACTGAGATGGAGAAATAATCTTCTATCCCTTCCTAGACCAGATGATTGTAAAGTGAATTTTTTGTGTTTAACAACTGCTAAATGTTTCTATAGTAAATGTGTAGCCAAGTGCTAGGAACTCCACCAGAAGAACTGTGAACAAGATGATACATAATCAAACTTACTAAAATGTAAACGTATTTGAATATAAATAAAACTGAATGTTCAGAGAAAGATGCTACAAAAGAGAATTGACAAAGAACAAATAAAAGAATTAAATGCTATTTTAGAGCCTACAGCATTTACAAACTGTTATGAATCTCTATGATATAAACTGAATCGTAAGCATGCTAGTCTTCATTATGAAAATATTTTAAATAAAAGGCCCATCAATGAATTCAACAAAACAGTCAAGAAACTCCATAGGGGCAGACACAAATGCATCATGGGAAATACCCAAACACATCTTAAGAATAAAGAACAAATAGTCACTTTGTAGGGGATAAAACTGATTGATGAATCCTTTCAGATTAATGATACAGTCTCCCTAAATTCTGCTCTGGACTTGATTCTTGTGGAAGAAAACCCTAGCTGTATGTAGCTATAGTTCATATTCCGCTGCAAAAGTTTAGTTCTTCTGTCTGCCACTCAGCTGGCTTTCCAGATAGGATGTACATAATGTTACATTTTCCATATAAAAGCTCTCGCCAATAAGGAGAGATCTCTCTCTCTGTTTTCTTACATATTTTAAGAACTAAAACTCTCACCTGGTTAGGGTATGTACTGTCCATTAGGTCTTAATATAAACAAACTTGTGTTTCATTTACAGTGAGTTAGTTATCATAACTGTTTAACAAGAAATCTGTAAGTGAAATATGAGTTATGACATGCCAAAAGACTGGAAAATTTCAAACCTGGGTCCAATTACAGGAATTAATAAGATGTCCTGGAGTTTCGGGTGCTCAAGAACTGGAACACATAGTCCTTTAAATTGCTGTTTCATTAGAAAACATAATTATTAAGCAACAGTAAAAAATCTAATACTTAATTGCTTAATTAGACTGAAAACTATTTTTCCAATTGAATTTATAGCTGTAGCATACAAAAAAATCCCCCCAAAGTAATGAAATAGTTAAAGAGAGGCTGGGTAATAGCATGTTAAGGAGACACTCCATGTTAAAAATACTGGTGTAAAAGACATTTAATATATTTAATAAACTGAGAAATAACAAGGCGACAAAGGGATTCACTGAGAAATTACTTCAGGGAGTGGGACAGTGTTCTGACACTCATAACCCTATCACTTTAAAAAGATGATGTCTTCTCGCTGAGTCTTCTAAAATATAAACTTAAAGCATGCAAAACTATAAATTAATTTGTATCGTATAAGTAAGTATTTTCTCTTAAGAAAACAATCCATGACCATACTCTTGTTAAACACTGTTACGTGGCTTCCTTTTCTAATGTAACATTTCAAAATGAAAAGTTTGTAAAAACCCAGCCTTAATTATGTTTTCAGAAAAACATTTTCCCTTGAAGCAAAATATCATACTGCAATACCCATTTTCAGACTTCTACAATCAAGCTAAAATTAGCATAACTCATTACCATTCCAGCCAGCAGAATACTGTCAACTGCCTCAGCATCACAGAAATGTCTTGGCTCCTGTCATACAGTAACTCCCTGTACTCCCACTAATATTAATAATTTACTTAAAGAAGAACTGGATATTTTTAGACAGAGTGAAGATACAGGATACAGTTTCATAATAACCTACTTCTTAAGCATAATGTCTTACGTATTATCAGATAAAAAAATGTTTAAGGTAAGTAAAAATCCAGGAAATCATATAAAGATTAAAAACAGGTTAAAACCCAGAAAATACAACTGCAAGGCATCACTCTGGCTTCCGTTTCTAAAACACGCAGATTTTCCCACTTTCCTGAACAGTTTGTGCAATTAGACGTACAGCCATTCTCCTTTAATCTTAAAGTGTTCTAAACATGCTGAACACTGCATACTGAACTACAATTTCTATCTCTTTGTACCATGTTATCTAAACTTATAATGGCTTTACAGTATTTACCACAGTAGTACCCCAATCCTATCTAAGGTTTGGATCTGCCAGATGAAAAAGATTCGGTTGTCTTTTCCCTCTGTTATTGCTTTTCTTGAATGTATTAGATGATACTGCATGACAATAAATTTACATTTAATGATGACAGGAAGTCAATATGATTGCATAATGTTAATACTAGTGGACATGTATTAAGTTATAGTTTCCAGTAATGAAAAGCTCTTAGAATCAGGCAAAAGATGAAATATCCTGTTATTTTTGCTGTAACAAAGAAATTGCACAAACCTTCTGGATCTCTTCAAACAGCAATTTTTTCACATGTTTCACTGAGGCCAAGTGGGTATTAACTCTAACAGCTGAGAAAGCTGGTGGATGAGACAGATGACTTAAGAGAGATTGGTATTGACTCTCTGCCTCCTGTGTACCTAAAGCAGTGATAAGCTGAAAGCGAAAGAAGAGGTTTTATATATAAGAGATTCACACAGCAGCCTCTTGCTCAATGCAAAAAAAAAAAAAAAACAAAAAAAAACCAACCCAACAACTGAATAAACATTCTGCAGAAATGGAGAAATATGGCTGTCTGGTATGCAGTAGTGAGGAATGTCTATGTCTAGAGGCCAGATTCCAAAAACCTCATAAACTTACTGAGAAGGAATTGCTGGAAAACCGGTAGCATTAGCAAGACCATTGTAAACAGGCTGCAGCAAGTACCAAAAGCAACTCCCAGCGAGCTCTGTGATACTGTACAGTCTTATCAAGATGGAAGAGTAGATTCAAAACTGTGAATTAATAAACTCTTACCCCGATATATAAAACTGTCATTTCTGCATTCTCTGACATTAGGAATTCATAGACTGCCTATAGTATTTTTGGTTCTACACTACAGCAAGGGAGTATTTCCTGTCAACATTATGTGATTAGTAAGTCGTTAATTTTCTACGACATTTCTTCAGTGGGGTCCAAACCTGAAGTCTCAGATTTATGCTAAATTGAGCTTAAACATTTTTATATTACTTTGAGCCAACAGGCATAAAGAATAATTCTGTATTTTAAAGAGAACTGTATACAACAATCTGTGTCTAATGTGGAAATGATACTTTATTTCTGGCATTGAAGTCACACAACATATTAAATCAAAGAAAAATTAACAGTGCTCAATTAGTGAATATTTATTGATGTAATATCTATTTCACATACCTCGTTGTTTCTAAACACTTTGGTGAGATACTCTTCAACTTCACGTTGGAAAAAGATTTTGGGGAAAAAAGACATCTTTCTTTTGTTTTTAAAATCTGCTGGTAAAAAAATGAAATAAGCAAAATATCTGCTTAGCAGCTTTTATCATATTTATAATTTTATAAGTGTAACATAAAATTACAAACTAAGCTGCAGTTTCTGATTCTTCTGGTTTAATAATGTAATTTTACTGTTCTCAAAAATCCAAATACTGCTCAGGATATGATCGTAACACTACTGTTAACTGCATTTCAGAATATGTTCATTAACATGGTTAGCACTTGCAATCACCTTATAATGAGGCTACTGGTTTCCTTGCTGTCACACCTTTCCCAGCCATACCTTCCCAGACTATTCTATCAGTGTTTAAAATGTGAAGAGAGCATCACAACCTCCAAATCGTGTCCTGTTAAATCTCTCCTCGGTATCCTTATCCTTGGGGAGAACTTGCTGTTTAGTCCTAGAATTAATTCACAAAGGCCCCTCACAGAATTTAGCTTTGACTCTTCTAAGTCACTTCTTTGAAATTCTTATTGTATTACATCATCATATCTGTTCATTTCTACAGATAATCTTCTAATTTTTCACTGTCAGATTTCTTTTTCTCAAGCCTAACGTCTTAGATTTCCTCTGTACCTGAAATTATCCAAATATCCCTCATAATGAAGGGACTGTTTTAATTCCTTCTGAAAGCCCAACTATAAAGTTCCTATGGTAGTTCCAGCCCTGATGCAGCTTTTAGTCTTTCTCATTATTCTCTGTTTATTTTTCTCTGTAGGTAATAAAATAGTTATCTTCCCAAGTTGTATCTGCACACCCCTATATTGCCTGTATATTGAAAAACTATATATACTTCAGTCTGAAATAAGATTTCCTGAAAAAAATAATAGTTTGTTTACACCAACATAAGTGGAGGGAAAGTGAGAACACCCCCTGCCACTGAGGTTTACTATATCCATAAGGATAAATCAGAAACTTCGGTATTCATTATATTTGAATAAGAGGCTAGCTGTCACTTTCATCATACAAACTCCCCCTCTCCACCATTTTTTTTTCTATATATATTTCAGGTCCAGCTGAAGTTTTAATGCTAGAAGAATGTTACCTTTTTATCTTTAGACGTAACTTTTGAGCTCAAAGGCAACTTTCAGTTTTATCAGTAGGAGTTTCAAGTTTTATTTGCAAGATTAGCAGCCTTTGAAAGAAAGAAATTGTAATGGAACGAATTGTGAACCCTAACAGTGACTTTGGTACTAACATTATGATGGTATATTTTTAGGAAATTAAATAGGTGTTTTATGATGACCACAGAATCCGACAAAATGACTGAGATGATCTCACAATTATGTCTTCATGGAAAACCAACCTGACAGTCTGTTGGCAACAGGACTTGTTTCTACCTATTTTAAGATGTGACAGAGTGCCACCATGAAACACGACCCACTAGGTGGTCAGAAACAGAAGTTCTTGGTCAAAACCACTGTACACAAAGGACAGAACTGCAATGAAGTTCTCTAAATGTGTTATAAAAGGGCAGCTAGCCCCATGATACAAATTAACAAGACAACTATGCCAATAACGCAGAATCTCTATCGCTTGAAATTTCGTACCAAAATAGAAAAGCTACAATGTGTTAGAAACCACTATCCTTCTAAACAGGATGGGAAATATATTAGAATACATGACATTTAATGATGGCCAACCGAAAAACAAGAACAAACCCAAGGAGATTTCACTTCTCCCTGTAAAGATGGGGTAGATATCACACATAAGCATGATACTTCTAACCACAGTTAATGAATACTTTCGAAGCAAAGCTGAAGAGGGAGACTGTCAGTGCCTCTTCAAATACAAGAGTTGGACTTCAAACACAACTAGCACGAGGCAGCTTCAAAACCTGCACCACCTTGCTGTTGTTTTTTTTTTCAGACCTGCTGTGCTGTACGCCCTGCCCCAGGAACGGCTTCTGTCAGACTTCAGAAGGGAGCCCTTGAAGGAGCATCACTCCCTGTTCACCATCTCCGTACAGATTCCCCTGTGCCCCTGTTGGGAGCTGCCGCGGTGGATGCGCTGCCGGACCAGGGCTTTGATCTAACTACGTGAATAAGCACTGCAAGCTGTCAAACGTAGCCACCGCCCAGCCATACCGAGTAAGATTTAACTTTCAAACTTCCTCCTTTCCCCACCCCTTCCCACACGAGGAAGAAGCCGGTTCGTTGCTGTGGGAAGCAGAATTTGGGGCTCTCTCCTTCATTCCCCATCAGCCCCGTTTCTGAACACACCTCGGGGAGGGGCTGGGGGGAGGCACTGCGCGGCACCTCAACCCAGGCTGCGCCGGGAAGCGGCGCAGCTCAGCGGGATGTTTCTCCGCTGCCCCCTCAGCCCCGGCGGGCATTGAGAGAGCCACAGACGAGGCCCCTCGCCGGGACGCTAAAAGAACGGAGCACGCCGAAATCGGGCCTGACCGTGTCCCGCCCTCCAGCGGCGGCGCGCTGACCCCCACACGCCGCCTGTCCCGCACCTACCGCCGCACACCGCGCCAATCCCTCCTCCTCCGGCGCAGCGGCAGGAAGTTCCGCCTCTGCCGCGGCAGGGTTTGCTCGAAGGCCGAGAGGGTGTTGCTGGCTTGGCTGTTACTATGGCCCCAGACGTGCCTCAGACGGGTGGGAGTATTCCAAAGCACGGGGCCGACAGGGCTTGCCTGATCCCCGGCCGGGATAAGCAGCGCCCTCACAGCTCCTGCCGCCGGAGGAGTTTGCCCCGCGGGCAGATCCAGCTTTGCCGCGGCGCTGTGGGCTGGGTCGTTGCAATGTCTTCCTCCCTCTCTGGGGTATCGAGCTGTGCATTCAGCTGCTAGGATCGCAGACGGCAGGTACCTGCGGCAGAGCGGCGTGTTCCCGCCTTATGGGGCAGCAGCGAGCTTGCGACGCTGCAGTAGTTCGCATCACAAGTTCGATGTACAGCTTTGGTTCATAAGGAAACTCTTGACAAAGCATTCCTGACGGAGTTTTGGGGTTCATTTAATTTTGCGGGTTTGTTTTCGCCTTTTTTTTTTGTGTGTGTGTGTGTGTGTCCCCTGGTTTTGGCTGAAATAATTTTCTCCCTAAGAGCTGGTGCAGTGTTGTGTTTTGGCTTCAGTCTGAGAACAATGCAGATAACACACCGATGTAGCTAAGTAGCGCTTACCCTAATCACGGACTTTTCAGTCCCTCATGCTCTGTCAGTGAGAAAGGGCACAAGAAACTGGCAGGAAGCAGAGACAGAACACCTGACCCAAATTAGTCAAAGGAGTATTCCCTACCGTGCCCAGTACATAAACGGGGAATTCATCCGAAAAGCCAGATCGCTGCTCGGGTCAGGCTGGGGGTTGGTCGATGGATGGTGAAGAACTGTGTTGTACATCACTTGTGTTTAATTTTGGGTTGTTTTTTGTTTCCTTTTGATTTTATATTCTCTCCCCTTGTTGTTTCCCTTAATATTACTAATAGTCTTATATTGTACTTAGTTACTAAACTGTTCTTATCTCAACCCCTGATGTTTACATTCTTTCGATTCTCCTCCCCATCCCGCCCGGGGACGGTAAGAAAGAGGGGTGTGAGCGAACGGCTGCGTGGCGCTGAGTTACCGGCTGGGCTTTAAACCACGACATGTTGATTTTGTTTGGGGGGGGGGGGGGCGTTGGTGCCCTCCTGCCCCCAGCGAGAGCAAGCTTAAACGCTCCTGCGTGTATGGAAACAGGCTATTTCCACCCCTCCGGTGTGTTAAGTGCTCCAGTACAGCACTGAAAAAACACACCGCTGTTTTTAAACGCTTTGCAGGAAAGAATCGAATGCCTTGAAAACCACAGGTCCTTCCCAGCCACAGCGAAGACCGCCCCTACCTGGGCGGGGAACGCGGTGACGGGGGAAAGGACGCTCCCGCTCCAGGGCCAAACACCGCTGCAGAGCCGCTTCTACCAGGGCGGGGGACAAGCGTAACCCGCAACACCCTTCCCTGGTGGAGAGCTCCTAATCACCGGTCTCACCACCAGCCCGGGGAAAAACCCGGCCCCTCCACGCTGCCCCAGCTCCGCCGCACCACACACGCCTAACCCGCTATCGCTGAGGCCACACGTAGTGGGTATAACGTGATGACGCACAAAGTGACGCGCTGCTACAGCCGCGTAGGCGTTAGGACGGCCCCTTGCGCTGTGAGGCCGTTGGCCGGTGAGGGGCGGTGCCGCTGTATGCCCGGCCCCTCTGCCCCCCCTCCCGGCAGCTGCCCCGGGGCCGCTGCGGGCTGTGTCCGCCCGAAGGGAGTCCGTCACCGCCGGTTGGCTGAGCCCGGGGGCTCAGGGGGAAGCTGAGGCCAGGCATGGGCCTGATCTTCGCCAAGCTGTGGAGTCTCTTCGGTAGCCAAGGTGGGCGCGGGGGCCCGAGCTAGCCACGGGGAGGTGGGGTGGCCAGCGCGCCCCTGAGGCGGGGCGAGAGGCTGCCGCGGGGCTGAGAGGGCCGCAGGCAGCCCACGGTAGTTGGGGCCCTGCTCCGGCCTCCGGGTTTCCCCTGAAGACGTGCCCGGGCAAAAGTTGGGCTTCTCTTTGTGCGGCGCCGTGAGCGCCGGTTCCGCGGCCCCTCATGCTCGGAGTTGCTTTGTTTCTCTCATTGAGGAGGTCCCTTCCTCCGTCTTCCTCTCTGGCGGCTCCTAACAGCCGGGCAGCCTTTCAGGCGAGATGTGCTCCTGAGTTCGCAGAGTGGTGAATGCTGCCTCTCAGGCATGTTTTTTTTCACCGTTGTAGCGTTTGAAGCTTTGATGTACGATGAAGGTCTTGTTTGTGTTTGCAGACGTTTTGAAGTCGGGGTATACTGTTAAAATCATGCTGCTTTTATCTTTAGTATCAAGTAAAATAACAAAAGCAAAAAAAAAGACCCACGCCAGACTTGTGTTGGGGCCTTTGAGGTACAGATCTGTTTTTGTTTTGGCAAAGGTGCTAGTGGTTACTGACCCATGATAATCGCTTCTGAAGCCAGAAATAAAGAGGTCGTAAGGAGATAGCTTTCCGTTCTGTCCCACCTAGCGCACCAGAGTTCAAAACTGTGGCTGCCACCGATAGTTATTATCAAAATCCTAGATTGTTTTATCTGTTGTTTATTTTAATGATTCTTGTTTACCTAGCCTTTTTTGGTTAGAAAATAAAATAGTCAAGGAGTTTATTGTTTGTATCGTTTTTCATTGAGGCCCGGAGTTTGAAAGAGGCAAACTGCTGTTAATGTTACTGCTCCCTCATCAGGTTTCCAAGTGCACGCCTTATTCCCACCTTAAAGTTACTTAAAATGCATTTAAGGGTTTTTGTGCTTCACTTTGTTGCCAGTAAAATTTTGCAAGTTTTGGGAAGCAGGTACACCTGGTGATTCTTTAATAGTTTAATAGTCATTGTACATGGACATAACTCATTCTAATTCTATAAATACAAGAGCAAAACCTCAGTGTGTGTACATGTTAACAGCCATGTATCAAACAATCTTTTCATGGGATGGGAGTGGGAGGGAGATCTAGACCATTTATCTTTCCCCCACATGTAACATCCAAGTACATCATTCCTGAAGGCTTCTGAGAGTCTTCTGAGTTTGTTGCTGTTGTTGATTTGAAGATTCTTACTTTTCTTAACTGGAAAGCCCATTTGGTAAGATTCAAGGTTTCCCCTATTCTCCAGAAAACTGTTAAGTATTGTCCTGTTTTTTGTCAAATACCAACTTCTTCTGTGAAGGACTAAGAAGAGACATCTATAAGCAGGAAAGTGATCGGTGGCTTTTAATGTTGGTCTGTATGGTACCTTATGATGTCACTGTTTAACTTTAGGAAGGAAGTAAGAGGGACAGTTTCATGTTTAGTTTTTGTTAGATTACATTGATTTCATTTCGTTAGTGGAAAACATATCGTCTTTGTTACTGTATAGTAATTCCTGAAAGGAAAATTAATTTTCACATATTTAAAACATTCATGAAATTAGTATCACAGTTAAGTATTAAGATGAGGCAGTACCATGAAATACTTACGATTTGGCTTTTATCCCAGTAAGGGGCTTCTGAGGGGTATTGTGATCTTTTCTTCAATTTGGTTTGTTGGTTTTTTTCTTGCCCGCTCTTCTTGTGGTGACCATAGAGAAGAAAGCTTGTTTTCATGTCTAAAATTGAAATTTCATCCTAGAAAGTTTAACCTTAAATTTTTGACCCATGTAGTAGGAAATTATTCTCTAATTACCTGACTATTTTCCTCTAAATAATATTATTAGTAATAATAAAAGATAGTAATTACTGAGTTGGATTTGCTTACTCTTCTAGTTATGTCAAATCCAGACAGTTTCTTGGAGAATTCATAGGCTGTCCCATGAAACTGCTTGTTGGGTAGACTAGTGCAGTAGCTCACACAATGATTTTGACTATATAGAGGGAGTATTTCAAAGCTGCAAACAGACCCTGATATGTGCGGAGCATAGCATGAGTTCATTGTGGCTAATGCAGGTTATGCTGATAGTCTGAAGCATTTGATACTGGCATAATGAAAGGTTAAACAAAGCAAAAGATTTAGAAAGTACCATCTGCCTTCCATCAAGTAGAGCATGGGGGAGGAGGTGTGCCGAAGTGCTAGAAAATACAGAAAGTCCTTGGCATTTCACTCAAGTATTAATTGCTTTGCTTTGCATAAATGTGAATAATACCTGAGCTGAAAATGCTAAATCTGAAAGTTATTTGATAGGAATGTCTGGACAAAGTTAAAGGAGTATCTGCTGGTGAGCCAAAACTGTTAACTCACAGGGAGAAGTGATGGTAGCTTTCTGAAAAATGTTACATCTTGAGGTAACATCTTAAAATAGGGCCTGTTTGTTTCTGTGCCTTTGGAGTTCAGTGCAGTTAGAGTAAATGTGCGATGTACAGAAAATTGTGTTCATTTAGAGTGCTTTCAGCCTTGCAGAAAAACCTTGTGATGAAAGTAACTTAGATCCTCCTAAAGCACTGAATGTAATTTTATTAATTTGCACATTATTGTTACTACTCTTGCAGTTTGATTCTCTTACCATCCATTCCAATGTTAAGGATGAAGTACTGGAAAAGGAAGGTCAAGAAACTTGACCTAGTCTGTTTCTAAAGACATTCCCTGTTGTCTGCTGGCTGATACTGTCTGTTGACCTCTTCCAACATTTGTATTCAATTGTTTTAGCCCTATGGTTTGGGTAGCGTCTGCGTGTTTCTTCTAGGGGGTTGAATCTGCCTGTTGCTCTGTTTCAGCTCTTTGTACATGCAGCAGAAATTGTTGCAGTTGTTTCCGCCCATTTTGATTATGGTTAGCCGATTTTGGCAAACCCAGACTGGCTCATGGTAGAAAATGGAATGGTTAAAATAGCATGTGGCTTTGAGCTGTAACAGTGTCATTTAAGCTGCTGAACCCAGGACACGCAGGAACTTTTTAGAAGAGGAAATCCTTTAGCTCTTTCTTCTGCTCCCCTGGCAGAATGCACTGCTTTTCTACCATGTACTCTCCAAATCTAGTGTGTGGGATTATGCAACAAGAAAAGCTTCATGCAGAACAGTTTAAGGAAATTGGGTAATGCCTCTGTTGATCTGTGAGTCAATGACTAATGAAAAAGAGGAAGGGTAACAGGCCCTGCCCTGAGCACAGTCCATCAGGGAATATCTATTTAGTTCTGTGGATTTTGTTTCTGTGGTGCTGGTAGTAGCGGTCAGAACTCTTCCAGGGCCTTACTTAATCTTGGTTTCTGTTCTCTGTGTTTTTTCCGTGCAGAGATTAAAGCCTGGGAGAAGGAGGACACTAAGCATTTACATGTCTTTCAGCTCTCTCAATATACATTGTCTCTTTAATCAAGTAATTATTGAACAATGCAAACTGAAATAGAGATACTTTATTTATAAGAGAAATAGTTGGCTTAAAAATAGACTTTTGCCTTTCTTCTAGGTGATTTATTCATGGCTGCCGAACATTTTATTTTTGAAACTGACAAAAAATTGCCCAGTGGTACTTTTTTAATTTTTTATTTTTTATTTAAATTTAAAATACTGTACTCTGAAGCTCTTTAAAGTCTAGTTATAAGTTCAAATTGAAGTTACACTTAGTTTTAAATAACTTGGAAAAGTATGTTTAAAAAAGACTTAAAAAATGACTTGCTTAAGCTATGATTCAGTACTCAAATGGCACAGTCTTCTAAGCAACATATAGTAATACAAATAAATGGTAAACTAACTTACTGCGTGTATTAACACATAGCTGAATAAAGCTTATTTGAGTTATCATTCCATCAATACTGTCAAGATGTCTCTTAATGTTCTTAATAAAACCAGAAGGTAAAACCAGAAGTAAGTGTTCACAACCTTGATAAAGGCAACTCTGACGGTTTTCAGAACCTTATTCCTTTGTGTTTGTGTGTGTTTGTTTCGCTGATAGGGTTCTTAAAGAAGTTCTCAAATCTTTTTAAATTCTTTTATGTTAGCTGTTCACAGTCTTTTAGGTCCTCTGAATAAATGCTATGGGTGTTAAAAAAGTGCTGTAAGCAGAATAATGGTAAGCTCCAAGTCAGGGAGGTTGAACTTCTGAAACTCCACAGTTTACTTAGGCTTGCTGACAGTTACCAGTATGTACAGTCAGGATAGCAGAGACCATTATTTAGAAAACCAAATGGATTTTGATTCCATTGACTGCTAAGCACTGTTGTTAGTTTCTCTGCTTTCTTGTACTCAAGTCTGGAAATGCAAGACATATTTCAGCTATTTTTGTGTTTAAAAGAAGACTCTAAGGTAGCTTGTAGTTTGCAGAATGAATCCCTGTATGAAAATGTCTTTCAACTTAAGTAAAATGCTATTTCTCCTGCCACCTCTTTAGCAAACTTCTGTCTGCATTGTGTCTTCAGCCCTGAAGCTTCCAAGATTGTTATTCTTCAGAACTAGATGTGGGGTTTCACAGCCCGAAAACCCTTTCCTATATTCATTTCTTCTTTCAGATATGTTGGAAGAGCCTTGCTCATCATTAATTTGGATTTTTATTTTTAATTTTTGCAAATTAGAGGAAAGGGCAAAATTGTGAGAACTGGATCTTCAGTTTTGGGTCCTTTTACCATAGAGAAATATAGACAAGTGAAGAAAAGAGCCTATTATGTCTTCCTTCTAATATCTGCAAGATCATCTTTGCTGCCCTATTATTTTGTAATACTAGGCTGCCAGGAATTTTCTTTAAAAATACTATTTTTTTTTTTATTTGTTTTTAACAGTCTGCCAGGAATGGTTGATATAACAGAATTCTTTGGATTCTTTTAAACAGTAGTCTAATACTGTCTTTTTCCCCCTGCATATGCCTGCTTTTTCTACTTATTTTTTTCCCCTCTTTCTACCTGATGTATAAAGACTCTGCTCTTCTGCTCTGGCAACTCTGTTACGGATTTTCTTCTTCCTTTGCCAAGAACATGGTGGACTGGGAAGATATTCATGAATACAACCCAAACTGAGTTTGAATACCAGCCAATGAAAGGGAGAAACTTGGGTTAGTCTGTAAGTACAGAAAACAAATACGAGCAAAAATCATTGCCTATGGTTTACTCCATAATTGTCCTTTCTCTTTAATGTAGCATCTATTTTCTACTAATTGTCCTTGTAAACAAGTACTTGTCTTGCTAAAATTTTGTTGTCTTAGTTTGTCAGTTTTTAAGTTCACGTGTTTTTTCTCTAATGCACATATACAAGTAAAAATTCTGCAATCTAACCAAACTAGGCAGAAATTCAGCTTTTGAATATGTTTGCAAGTGAAGAGGTTTCCATTACCACAGATGACAGTCCTGAAAGCAACTGCCATTAATTAAAGGTGGAAACTGCTATTTATCTGCGATACCAATGCTTTCATCTAATTATTTCAATCCCCAAATCAAAATTAACACTTGTTTGACTGTTTGTTTGTGCGAATTCAGTTGCTGTATAAAATGCTACCTGACTATGGAGTAACACACGTAGCTGTGCCTTTTTTTTTCCCCAGTTTGTGTTGAACCACTCGCGCTTCAGTGGCTTTCAAAAAGTCATCTTGATGGAGATTACCCCCCCCCCCCATCACCTTAAGTAGCTTGATACTGTTTCATCCAATGCTTTTCTCATTCATTCCTAAGTAAGACCCTGTATTCTGATGTGAAAGTGGGAAAGAGCAATGTAATACCTGTCCGGAATTCCTTTTCTTCCTTGAAAATAACTCAGATGAAATGTTGCAGAAGTAGTGTCATCTTCTTCCAAGCAATAGTTGACAACATGGCTGTTTTGAAAAGAACAGAAGGGGAGTTCTGTTTGAACTTCGAAAACCTTTTAAACTTAGCTGACTTTGAACAAGAAATGGGCAGTCTAGCTATGTGGCATGGTTTATTAGAGTTAGAAGCAGAGAGGATTTCATACCATTTATTTATTGGGGAAGGTTATTCATTACTGATGCTGCTGCTTTGTACTAAAAGTACTACTTAAGGCCAGGAAAAGTTCTTGCCTTAGAATGTGTTGTCAGGATGCAGTAGTAGGGGGACTGATAAAAGGAAATGTATTTCCACATTTGTTAAGGCCACATCACATAGCAAAAATTCTAAAAGTTCTAAGCAACAGATTGTTTCATTAAAATCACTTTCAGTATGAAAAGACTTAGGTTATTACATATAAATAGATGTAAAAAATAAAACCAAAAAGCCCTCTCCCCCCCCCCAAAAAAAAAATCACAACAAAACAAACCACTATGATTCTTCCTTAGACCACCCACTTGCAGGCAAAACCCCACCAATTTTATATTTATGATAGCTCCTTTGACCTTTTAGTAATTTGTTCTTAAGTCTTATAGGTTGAATGTGGTATTTTAGAGGACGTCTTTAAGCTTTGAACCATGTTATGCTTTGGAATAAGTGCCCTAGAATTTTAAATTACCCCTTTAAAAAGGAGCCTGCTCACATACTTTTTATTCAGGTTTTACGTGTAGTATCCATTTGTAAATTCTCTGCTCTCAAATGATTTGCCTTTTTGTCAGTAGGTGGATCAGTATCTTCTAACTTCATCCGTGTATCAAAAGAACCGCCATTCTAATTAGCTGTGCTTCTGTATTTGAAATTACAAGAAGGATTAACTAGCGAAGCATATAAGTTCTGAGGGGTTTTGTTAGTTTTGGTTTTATTTCCCCTGTGCCTGGAAAAATAACATTGCAGCAATTAGAAGATCACTATTGTATAAGCTGGACTTACAGCGGATTGAGAGAAGTGATCTTTCCCTTCTACTCAGCATCAGTGAGTAATCATATGGAGTAGTATGTCCAGTTCCAGGCTCCTCAGTACAAGAGAGATGGGCATACTGGAGAGAGTCCAGTGATAAGCCACAGGATGATTAATGGACTGGAGCATCTTTCTTATGAGAAAAGGCTGAGAGACCTCTGACAATTTATTTAGCTTTGAGAAGAGAAGGCTTGGGGGTGCAAAAAGGACAGAGCCACTGTTCTCAGTGATGGTCATTGACAGGACCAAAGGCAGTGGGCACAAACTGAAACACAGGAGGTTCCCTCTGACCACCAGAAAACGCGTTTTTACTATGAGGGTGCCTGAACACTGGCACAGGTTGCCCAGAAGGGTTATAAAGTCTCTATTCTTGCAGATGCTTGAACACCATCTGGAGATGGTCCTTGGTGACTGGCTCTAGGTGCACCTGGTTGAGCAAGGGGCTTGGAACAGATGAACTCCAGAAGTGGCTTCCAACCTCAGTCATTCTGTCATTCTGTGACTTTTCAGTTTAGAAATTGTAACACTGAAATTTGTGATCTACTCAAAATACAGCTTCCTCGTATTTTTTACAGTGTGAATGATGGTGGTCCCTTAAGAAGTGGCTGTTACTGAGGCTTAAAAGTTAGCCTTATAGTTTGTGCAGTCTTTAGCTGTTTGCTGATATCCTTAAGATGATACACTGCTATGAGTTAAATTTTTTTATTGTACTTTTCTTTCTATAATGAGACAATATAAACAAAGCAATTGTATTATAACTATTCCTTTATGAAGACTTCCAGTACTGACTTTTCTTGCGACTGTAGTATCAAGAGAGGATGAGGCTTTGGGAATTCCACATACACACACACCCCCCACACCCCCCGCTGAAGTCACCAATATTCTGTGTAAGCTATTGAAATAAGACAAGCAAGCAGTTGTTTTCTTCAGTAAGGAACAAAGGAAAGTTGATTAACCAGAATTATAACTGTTGCTTTTTCCATTAATTTATTCTTGTCTTTTTTTGTGTATATGCAGAGCACAAAGTAATCATAGTGGGACTTGATAATGCTGGAAAGACTACTATTCTTTACCAATTGTAAGTACATGAACTATTCTTTCTGTTTATGTTTTAATATTTGTCACTGTTTAATCATTGATAATTCAGTGTTGCAATCTGATGAAATCTCTAGGGTTGTAGGTCACAGTTTGAACATTAATAATATTATTTTTAAACAGAATAAGTATGTAAAGAATAAGCAAAGAAACTACAGTGTTTTAGCATGCAACTGTAAATTGAACAGCAAAATTGTTCATACAAGCACAAAGTGGACTGTAAATTCTTTGGCCATCAAAGCTTATTTTTATTTGTAAGCATAGAAATAATCCTTCCACCAAGAACTGCAGAGAATAGAATCATAGAATAGTTAGGGTTGGAAAAGACCTTAAGATCATCTTGTTCTAACCTGCTATAGGCAGGGACACCTCACACTAAACCATGTCACCCAAGGCTCTGTCCAGCCTGGCCTGGAACACTACCAGGGATGGAGCATTCACAACTTCCCTGGGCAACCCATTCCAGTGCCTCACCACCCTTACATTAAAGAACTTCTTCCTTATATCCAATCTAAACTTCTCCTGTTTAAGTTTTAACCCATTATCCCTTGTCCTGTCACTACAGTCCTTAATGAAGAGTCCCTCTCCAGCATCCTTGTAGCACCGTCAGATACTGGAAGGCTGCTATGAGGTCTCCACGCAGCCTTCTCTTCTCCAGGCTGAACAGCCTCAACTTTCTCAGCCTGTCTTCATACGGGAGGTGCTCCAGTCCCCTGATCATCCTTGTGGCCCTCCTCTGGACTTACTCCAATGGTTCCATGTCCTTTTTATGTTGAGGACGCCAGAACTGTGCACAATACTCCAAGTGAGGTTTCACAAAAGAAGAAAATTATTTTTAAGTTACTGGAAATTCTAGCCATTCTGCAAAAAGTCCCTAAATGTTTCCAGTGTCTCCTGATTCCAGTGTCTGAAATTTATGGTGAAGGATTCCTCAGAATATTATTTCATCTTGCCAAGCTCCTACCTTTTCAATAGCATCATTGCACCCAAGTCTTGCCAGCATTACAGTATGTGTGATAAATTTAAGAATATTGGCAGGGACATAATTACTGTTGTAATTGTGGAAAAGGAGGAGGGTGTAGCAAAGTTCGTATGTATATATTTGCATATGAAAGCAGCAGAGAATGTTTTCAAGAAAACTCTTTTCTAAGCACTTTTGTCAAAGCTTAAAGGCAGAATAAAGACATTTTAGCAATGTAAGCAAACAGTTCTTTGGATTTTTGTTTTAATACTGAATTACAAAGTTGACTGCTCTAATAAAATTACATTCTGATTTATATTTTGCACAATTTAATGTTCCCCTCCTTTGGGAACTTTAGCATAGCAGCTATTACTTAAAATGCACTTGTTTCAATGTATCAGTTAAAGAGTGTCCTTTAAAAAGAGGACATCTCCTAAAATGCCGATGATTATCCATTAGTTATAAGCCTTTTTTATGTGCTTATTTTTCATTGTTGATGTCTTCAAGCATGTCTACAGTCTCTGCTACAAAAGCACAGTAGAAATTGCCAACCACAGTTTTCAGTCCAAATTCAGATTTAACTGATCTTTTTACTGAAGAACTGCTCTTCAATATTTTCTTTATTTCTAGAAAAAAAAATTTGATTTTTAGCTTCTTGAAATATGTGTAGTTTTTTTAATCTTTTTTTCTGTCAAAGTTACATACATGTACATTTTTCTAGAACAAATTTGTTGTAACTGAGTTGTGACAAGCCTTGTGAATTTTACTGGCATGTCTTTATCATGTGATATTTTCTCCTTTAGCTTAATGAATGAAGTGGTTCATACTTCTCCAACAATAGGAAGCAATGTGGAAGAAATAGTAGTGAAAAACACTCATTTTTTAATGTGGGATATTGGAGGACAAGAATCGTTACGGTCATCATGGAATACCTATTACTCAAACACAGAGGTATGAGAAGCTACTCTACAGATACAATGTTTGTGTGAAAGTATATTTATGTGTTAGAAATTTTGGTAAATTTCTATAAAGATTTCAGCTGTAATGTTTTTAAATATTTTTGAGGAAGAATAAACCCAAAAAGTGTAAGTTGTGTCTGGTTTGCAGCCAATTTTCTGGTAATATTTGAAGTATTTGTTGTGTATACTTTACAGTAATGTTGTTTGATCTGACAGTCAAATTATATCAAAATCCGTTTCAGATGAAACAGGATTTTTGCATGTTTTTCAAGTAGATTGAAAAATTTTGCCATGTATCTTGCAAATTTGGTGTGGATTTGCAGTGTGTAATTTAACTTCTGTACATCTAGTCTGAAATATTTTTGAGGTAACGACTGTTAAGGATGAGAAATGAAGGTTATTTTAAGCAGCAGTATTTAAAAGCTCATCAGCTTGTGACTTTTATCCAAGGGATGAAGGCAAGTCAGTACTGTGCAGTACTTATGAGGTACTGGTAAAGCTGCCATTGCTGGAAAGGTTATAAGTAGAACTCAGCAACACTTGTCCTTTGGAGGGTTGCTTTTTTTGCCATCGTTCTTGATGCCAAAAGGTTATCAACACAACATACATGTAAATCTCTGCACCCTCACACTGAGACTTCTACATTGGTGTAAAAAACTTCTAGACTTCACTTATGACCTCTGCTAAAAGCAGGTCTCTTGTACATATTTCTCATCATATAATCATTCTGTCCTCCTGTAAAGTGAGGTTTTCTGTCCTGCGTCCCGTTTTGAGAGAGGGGAGATGAGTGATCCAGCCCAGATGTTCAGAACCTTTTTGCCTACTGAAAGCCTGGTGATGACATCTCAACCTTTATCTCTAATACTTCAAACTTATTTTTATCTAGACAAGTATGGCTACATCAAAGACACATGCATACTCATGAGGGTGAAGAGACTTCTGCCAGCAGTATCTGGTACAATAATAATAAGTTCCTGACACTTGTCCATTGAGAAACTTTATTTTGGAACTTGGGGAGATGCATGTATTAGGGTTTTGTTGTTTGTTTTTTTTTTAATCCTTTTGTGATGTTCTTTGTCATATCCTGGCTAGTAAGTGTTTGAAATCCAGTGCTTTCTAGCACTTGGAAAGAACTTTCCCTTTTACTTAGAAGCTTTGTCTGTTGGAAACATTTGAGGAAGAAAAGCTGTCTGTTTAGTATGCTAATCCTAGCCTCCCCAATATGAATAATTCCTTTATTGTTGTTCCTCATCTGCTTAGACGTCTCAGAGTCACAGCAGCATTAAATTGACTTTATTTTTCATACTTTGTGGTCATTTTCAATGGGTAATGAATCGCCTTAGTTTTATAACGCAAAGTGATTCGGAGCATATGTTGGAAAATTATAGTAGTTACTTCTGATGCTTCTTTTTTGTTACTGTCTCTCTTTTCTCTCTTTCCTTATCTGTAAATTGAAACAATCTAAACAAAAACTTTGCAGTAATGTAAAAATCCCACAAATAAGCTTTTCAGTGCAAACCTGTCCTAACTAGTTTCAACTTGATAAGGCTAATTTTGCATTCTGGTTTTAGAATTGGATCATATTCTTACAGAAAGGATGTTGAGGCAGGCTTAGATACACAGGATTTGAGGGAAAAGGAAATGAGAGGAATGTAATCCCCTTTGGTTCCTCTCTAACATAGCATGTGTTAACTGTATTTATTTACGTATTTATTTTATTTATTTTATAGTATCTGTATAATTTTCATCAGAATGTGCTTTATCTCCCTGCTCACTGTTCTTACCTATGATGCTGTTAGTGTTGCTTGGGGTACACTCAGCAGGGCAAGTGTTGAACACTAATCAGTTGTAATGGTTTGTGTACAAATACTGTTGTGTAATGTTTACAAGCATGTCTGTTTCCTCTCCAGTTTAAGGCTATAAAATAGAAGATCTAAAACAGGGGATAGAAGGAGTGGGGTAAGAAAGTGGGTTTCATACCAGTGAGAATCGCTTCCCATCAGAGACTTGCTGGACCAGACCTAGCAGTGTCTCAGGATTCACAAGTAAATGGCCATTGCGAATCACATGCCAAGCAGGAACAATAAGGGTAAAGTCACTGCTGTAGCCATTTCCAAGTGCCTAGGTGGAAGAGTGCAGTGTGGTGAGAAGCCAACTTGCACAGGCCCTTCGCAAAGGTTAAGGTGTTGTGCAACATAATGCTAAACCCTACAGGTTCATACCTTTCTGAGGTCTACTTTGAAGTAACATTTCTTAAGCCTGTGAGTAACATGATGCTGAATTGTTAAAAATGCTTGTTTAAGAATAGGGAACTTCAATTTCAGTTTCCTAGCTTTCTGAGTATGCAGGCAGTCGTGGACAGTAGTAGCTGCTTTCATTGATCGCTGTGTAGCAAGTTTGTCATCCACATTTTAAACGTAATCCACTATGTGTAGGTGCTTTTGGTACCCATGTTACTATTATCTTAGGATGTAGGGCCTGAAAATCCACCGAGGAGATTTAATCGTGGTATGTGAATGTAGACTTTAATAGCAGTGCTGAAATGTACAAGCACATTTTTTTTTTCATAACTGTAATTTTCATGTATGATTCCCAAGACTCTAGCAAGAGACTGTAACAACAATGCTCTTGTTCTGTTTCCTAGTATGCTGTGAAAGTCTAGCTCTCTTACATAGGAAGACTTGTGGTTAGTGGTCTCTTGAAAACATGCTTTCTGTAATTTACACTTTGTACTTACATACTGTACTATTCTTTTTTCTCCTAGTTCATCATTCTTGTTGTTGACAGCATTGATAGAGAGCGACTTTCTATAACAAAAGAAGAACTTTATAGAATGCTGGCTCATGAGGTATGATGGGGAGTTGGGCTAATAGTTCCGTTGTGAAAATCAGATGACATTACATGCTTCTTATGTTAACAAAAATTATACTGTCACAAAAAACTTTCTGAGCCTAGCATGTTGGTCACATTTTAAAACCATTGAAATTATAAATAAAGAGGAACATTATTATGAAGCACCCTTCTGATAGGGCTTGCGTGATTATAATCACGCGTGATTTACAAGTCGAATTTGTAAAATATTTTGAATTTCATGTTCATGTAACTGGGTATTACTGTTCACCACACCCTCTCATCTTTCAGTTAAGTGGCTAAAATTTTAAGAAACTATTTGCAGTGGGTAGCCTGATTGCTGATCTTAGAAAATCAGCAATTCCATTTCTTTCTTGTTTGTTTTAATCCTGTTCCTTAAAATTAAGGAGCATATATAATACTATGGATAAATTAGCTTCAGTTTTCTTCCGTTATTTTGCTTGTAGTTTTATTACTATGTGTTGTATTGAGGACTGTCCAACACTGGGCCAGCTCCCTTAAACATCCTAAAATGATTTCTACATCAGATTAGCTGTGATGACTCTCAAGCTAAATTAGGGGGTTTAAGTCTGAGTAACTTCCTTCATTTTTTGAAGGAATATTATTTAATACAATGCAAGTAATTCTGTTGAGCTCATTTCTTGGAGAGATTTTCATTGAATGAGTTTTTACTTCTACAGGTAATGTAGGTTGCATCTGGTAGAAAGGAGCAAATACACGACCAAAAAGGGGGAAAATATGACTTCTTGCGAAGAAGTTTTCCCATGTAGTTCATTAGTTTCCATGTAGTTTATTTATGTTATATGCTCTTAAGAGGTCGTGATGTCTTGAAAACAGTTGGTAGGCCTAGACTGGACTGCTTGTAGGAGTGGATTTTCAACTGTGGATGATAAAGATTTGGTGGTTGGGTGTTTGTTTTTTTTTTTTGTTTTTGTTTTTCTTCTGATAAAGAAATAGTCTTAAAATGTAATGAAGTGTGTTGAACACTTTTAATTAGAACTGTTGTTTTCCTGATTATTGTGTTTGTTTACACTTTGCACTCCTAAAGCCATATACCCCAGTTCCTGTCTTATTGTTGTGTGGAATCTTTTATTTCTGTAAAGAAGCAAACCAACTTCTTATTAGTTTCTGTTTCTACTGAAGCTGCTGCAGCATTATTAGAGCTCCTTTTTTGTGACAGTAGGATAAAACTTCCAAGAATGTAGGTGGCTTTCTTAAATTATTATTGTTTTAACCACTACAGAACTTGTTTAATGAAGTTGAAAGTAATTTCAAGGGAATGATAACTGGCAGGCTTTTCCATTTGAATAGTATCTAATGTAGATTTTGGAATGTTCTTCCAGTGATAATTGTGCTGGCTGGCTGATTTTATACCTCTTCTGAATACTTCAAATTACTTCTAGGATTTACGGAAGGCTGCAGTTCTCATCTTTGCGAACAAGCAGGACATGAAAGGTTGCATGACAGCTGCTGAGATATCTACATACCTCACCCTCAGCTCCATAAAGGATCACCCATGGCACATTCAGTCTTGTTGTGCTTTGACAGGAGAAGGGTAAATGCTTACTGCTTAATGTAGTAATACGTGGTAAATGGAATACTGATTTAGAAGCCTGTTGGTACCAATGTGGATTTCCTGAAAGAATATGTTTTCTGATCTTTGCCGTCAGAGGAGCATTTTGAATTTCTCGTTTCTTTATTGAATCTTGTGGGATTTTTTTTCATAGATCAGACCAAATTTATATGAAGGTCTTTCAGCTTATTGTTAAAAAACCAAAACAAACCAGTCAGTAACAATAAAAACAAACCACAAAACCAAAGCCAGACAACACAGCACTCCCCCCAGTCCCCCATCCCCCAAATATGTAGCTGTTGGCATAGTTGTTTAATCCCTGTGTGCTACCCTCTCATTCTGTGTGTCTTTGTTTGAAGAAATAAGCTACTGTCTTCTTCCTTTCCATTCTGATCTACCATAAGCTTCTAAGGTGGAGGGGTTGGTGTGGATATGTTTGTGTTTCTTATTGGTTGGTTGGGGTTTTTGATAAGCATTCAAACAGAATTTTGATGAAAAGGTACATAGATCTGGCATAACCCAAAATTATTACAAATATTAAAGCTTTTACTTGTATCTGATTGATGTAGCTAATTTTTAAATTTTTATACCTTATGACAGCAATTACTAAAATGGAAAGCTGAGCTTTCCTTAGATCCTTTGCGCCTAAAGATCAAAAAGCATTTTTGAATGTCTATAACAACCTGGGTAGTGTCTTGCTTACTTAGTTTGAAGTGTGCTAATTTTTCATCTTGGTTCTTAAAGGAGTCTTCTCATGTGTAATAAGAGTTTTTTCAGCTGTTGTATGACCTTTACAATAACGTGGTCTTGTGACATCTAAAGCAGTGAATAAACTGAGTATTTGGGAAGTGAGAGCGTCTTCCTCACTTTAGCATGCAGTATTTTCTAACCTAAGAAATGTCTTGTAGAGTGATTAGTAGTGTTCACTTTCTTAGTGTGGGATATGTTCATAAGAATAAATTGGGGTGGGAGAGGGTTATTTAGTCTTTGGATTGCATTGATTCATTCTAAGAATTAACTTTCTATCCATTTTGCTAAAGGTGCTTTTGAATATTTAGTGTATATAATACCTTAGATTTATCTTCAAACAAGTTGGCATTTGGAAGAAGGTTGAAATGAATGAGTAAGAATTTTTGTTTAGGAGCATTGGCCATACTAGGCTGCTGCTTTCTTATTGGGGGGTTGGGGGGGTAAAAGTAAGTCAATAATTGGAATACTTACATTGTGACAGTAGTGAGACCTACTCATATAACAATTTTTAGAGTTAAATTGCTGAGCTGAATCTTCCTTGGGAAGATCTGGCAGGTGTCTAGGGAGATTAGCTCCATGTGAGTGAAGCTAGCCACCTTGAGATAGCCAAGTCTTGAATTACTTTACAAAAGTAAAGCTTAAAGGTAACATAAACTAGGTAACTAGATCTCTAGTAAATTAAAGGAAAGTCCGTCTTCTTAAGTGTAGGACTTGTAAATAAATATAGATTGAGCAAGTAGGCAGATTAAATTCCATGCAATTTTGGTGGTGAATAAAAAAATTTTTAATTTTGTAATGGGATTTTGTAATTCTTGATACACTGCCTTTTCATGAACCAATTCGGTCTGGGTAACCTGTCCTTTGTCTTTTAGTATTAGTTTGTAAAGGTTCTGCCTTCAAGTTAGCAGTCTTCCATGGCAAACCTGTAGAAAAACTTGGTTGGTTCCATGTACTTATGAGTAAGCATATTAAGAATAGTGTCTTTTAGATTTACAAAGGGAAAAAAAAGGAATGCTGAGCTTCAATAAAATAGCATGCTTGAACTCACCTTCTTGTGGTTAAAACTTAAGTAGACTTAGTTTAAAACACTGTTTATTTTGTTCAGGTTTCAGTCCCAATTCCATCTGTTGTTATTTATTTTAAGTAGATGTTTTTTAAACATAAAACCAAGTAGGAAATACTTTAAAGATGTTGGGATAGAACTAGTACCAATATAACATCTCTTGTCTTCCAGATTATGCCAAGGCTTGGAGTGGATGACTTCCCGCATTGGAGTGAGATAGCTGCTTTTCCTACACTTCCACCCCTTAATGCCCCAAAAAAGAAGAGACTTCTATTTATCCTGTGAACATGTACATTTTTCTGTACTTCTGGCTGCTGAAGCAGTGACCATGTTTAATTTATATCAGCCAACCCCCAGGCTGTACTTGAATCAAGTGCAGTTGAACTGAAATGCAAAGTATTTTCTTAACTTTTTTTTAGCACACTAATCTTCAACTGGATGATCATATGTGAATCTGGTTTTAAGCATTGGAATTCCTCTGAATATGTAATCTAACTTTTTCAATGATAGCTTTTTAAACTGTTTTGTCATTGTCAATATTTCACACTTCCTCTTTCTAAATAGTTTATATAACTGACTAACATAAATGAGCACAGTTTGTTTAACAACAAAAAGTAGCGAGTAGGTTGACTTTACTCTGGCATAGCTTTAGCCTCTGAGGATAACCATATCTCCAACTGGGCTTCCTGAAACATTAGCAGAGTCCTAGCCAGCACAGGAGTTACAGTTGTTCAGCATTTAAAAAATTGCATTCATGAGTTTGCTATAGTTAATACTGTGATGGCTTCTAACCTGGTATATAATTGAACTTCTGCCTCAAGAGAAATCTATTTCATTCTTAGTTTCTGTGGTTCATAGATCCAAGATGATTCTTTTACTTAAAAATACATCTCTACAGTGGTTAAAAATTTGTTAGTAAGTGCTGGTTTAATAATTTAGAACTTGAATATCTTTTTTAAAATAAACTTCTTGATAATTAAGTTTGGAATCATGGCAGCCAGTGTTATGTATAGACTTACTGTAACCTGTTAAAATTTTTAAATACTGCATACATGAGCCTTCCTCACCTTTTCGTGAGACTGCTGTTTCCTAAATGAATGCAAAATTAAAAGGGAAGCCAGATTTATAAACAGGACAGAGTCACGGTGCTATATCTGGAGACTTCAGAGCAAAGCTAATATTGATGTTTATTTTCCTACTGTCAAATATGTTTTCAGATTCTGTTGCTGAGAAAATATTTTGCCTTAATTTTTGTTTTTAGTTTTATTTGCTGGAGCAGAGAACCATTGATGGTGTTCAAATTGGATTCATTCACCTGACATTTAGGAACTGAAAGTTGAAAAGGGAAAGAGCTTCCATTTGAAAAAACAGGTGGTGAAAGAGCAGACCTAGTAACTCTTAAATCAATTTGAAGAGGATGAATGATGAAGTTAGATCTGTAAAGGGAATCTAAAGCTATGGATGAAGTTAATTGAGAACATTAGGTGCCAAAAAAACCCTAACCACCATATCTGAGAAAAAACAAACAAAAACCCCCACAAAACAATACTGGACATAAAATAGTAAAATCCCAGCAGCAGTCAGATATCTATCCTGTATAAATGCTTGACAGACTTTCCAAAAGCACCATTCTGCACTTTGCATGCCTGAATCCCATATGGAGTCTAGTTACTAGAACCATTTTGCTAATTGACTGTAGGCCTTTAATGAGAAAATGTTTTTGTTGTAAATCTTGTTTTGATAATTCAAGCAGACTGAGTTTTCTTTAATAAAATTTTATGGTGTGTAAATTTCAATTTGCTTTCATTTTTATTTGAACAAAACTTAATGAAGTTTTAAAAGTTGTCCTAAGTGTTAAAGCGAAGACTTTGAATACATGTGGGAGCAGTGACTGATTGAATGAAGTTGTGTATTAATGTTGATTAGCAAAAGTCACATTTAAGAGAGAATCTGTGTTGAGTGTCAGGTCAGTGCTCAGCAAATAGATCAGTTAAAAGTATTGCTTAAAGAAGAGAGGAATGCAAGGCAGGGGTAAAATGTGATACTAAAAGTTCTTGTTCTGATATTCATGCTAACAACTGTTCTAATGTGTGATAATAAGATTTGTTGTTAGGGAAGCAAGTGATAAATGAAAAAAATAAAATGATGCTGTGAATGAGGTTTCTTGTTTGGTGACTTAATTTCAGTTTGTAATTCAAGTTTATCTTTAGGTTTATGTAATTCAGAATGTAGTCTGGAATATTTGTACAAAGCACTGTGTGGGTGTATGGCCCTCTGATTGTTTGGGGGGGGAAAAAAAAGGCATGATTTTGTATTTAAAATAAAAAAAAGTACAGTCTCTCACCTCAAGTAATGCATCTAACTTTGATTAGGAGGAAATGGTCATGATGCATCTCTTGCATAGGGATATACCTCCTGAAACACTTTAGATAAAGTTGCCTTCCTGAAACCATACGTTTTATCACATTTAAAAAACAAACCCAGAAAACTCACATTCTTGTTGGCTTTAGTTTCCTAAGATAGTGGAAGTAAAAGCATATGTTAAATGAGAAAACTTTGTAGATACAATCCAACAAAATAATGGAATTTTGGGTAGCTCAGAACTTTTGTAAGACTAGATGGATGTTACTGCAAATAGTTAAATCTGACATGAAATTGCTTTCTTTTACAGGAAGCTGAAGCTGGAATATGTCAGCTTCTCTAGGCACAGAAGTTCTCCTTGGCTGAAAGTGACTTCTTTGTAATTTGCTTCATTAAGTGCATGGTTCAGTCTGAAAGGTCCTGAATATGTATGGTATAGTTTTTCCCCAGTTAATAAGTCTGTTCATGGCAGTTTGCATAAAGGGTGTACTTTATGTTTTTTGTCTAAAGATGTTGACAGAGGCATTTGGGGTTCTAGACAAAAAGGTGGTCATACACTATAGGTTTTGGTACAGAAGCTACATTTTCCTCATACAGATCTCTGCTAAATCAAATTTCATTTAACTGTTTTTTTTTTTGTCGTTTTTTTGTTTTTTCTTTTGAAGCATAGCTTAAGAACCTTCTCTCAAGTTTGTCTGTGTTCGTATTTACCCTCTAGCCCTTCGCTGTCTTCATTTCCAAGACACTGCTGGCATCTTAATCTGAGGATCTAAAGAGTCTCTTCTAGCTGGATGTTCTGCAGAACCTGGGAAACAGTTTCTGGTACAAGGGCGCGGTTTTCCCAAAGTTTAGCAAGGCAGGCTGTCATAACACTTGGCATCCATGTCGCAGCTTCTTCTAATGCCTATAGGCACTAGCAGTTTTCTAGTTTGGATCCTTGCAAACTTTTTCTGTATCAAATGTAAGGCTTGCTGTTCACCACTGGGGTTTTTGTTCTGAGGTGTGTGCTGTTATCCTGATCTTGCAGGAGACCTTCCTTTTTTTTCTGTGAATAACTATTTTCATACATACAGTACTGAGAGATTTTTTTTTTTCAGCAGCAGTGTTGGTCAAACTTCTGTTTGTGCTGCACAAGCATATACTATATTTCAGCTCAACAAATTGAGGTGTCTTACATGGATTTATGTTGTCCTGCTGTAAAGGGGTTGGCATGTGGCTTTTTATTTATTTTAGGGAGTTTCTTGTTTAGGTGGTAAAGAGCTTCAGTATCCCCAAGCCAGTGATTCTTTCCAGCTGTTTGAACACACTGTACACAGCAATGGGAAGATGACTTGGGCATAGCTACTCTTTGATTATTTTATTTAGATAAAAATAATAGAGTTCTGTTACATTTGGGGGGTTTGTGCATGTGTTCTTTGGTGAAGAGGTATCAAAGTAGCGTAACGCTTTCATGTGTAGAGGCTGGGAAAAGCATTTATTTTTCAGTCTCTGGGCCTGCATCTTGTGCAACTGTAGCCAGTTCACAAAACATCTTGGTTGGACACCTGCTTCTGTTCATTTTGGGAAAAGCTCCAACTTTGATCCTAAAGAAACTTTCACATCGTTTCAGCCATGAGAAGCAGAGTCTTTGTTTGGTTTAGTGGAGGGTGTTTGTTTTAATGGACTGTTCCCTTTCAAAGTAAGAGCAAAGCAAATCCAAACAGAAGAGGAGGAAAAAATTTAGATTTTTGTGTGTGCATTTGACTGTGTGTAGTATTTAGCTGAATTTGCTGTTTCTTTTTGTAGAGTTTGCCCTGTGAAAGAGCACAGAAGGCAACAGTGAAGGAAGCAAGTATGAAAAACACAACCATGATGCCAACACTAGCAATAGGAACTTGCGCTTTGAAACAAGCTTAAGCAACTTCTAAAATATATATGGAAGAAGTTCTTACTCCACCATGGGGGTGGTGAGACACTGGAACAGGCTGTCCAGAGAAGCTGTGACTACCCCATCCTTGGAAGTGTTCAAGGTCAGGTTGGATGGAGCTTTGAGCAACCTGGTTTCATTGAAGGTGTCCTGCCTGTGGCAGGGGATTGGAACTGGAGGAGCTTTAAGGTCTTTTCCAACCAAAACAATTCTATGATTCCGCCTTTTGACATGGAGTGTTTCTATATTTTGCTGCTTAGGGCAGAGCAATAAAAAGGTGTGCGGTGTCCACAGTATGTGTGGTCACCATACAGGCAGGAGGATGGGGCTCTGAGAAAGTGCTTCATGTTCAGCTCAGTTCTGACACTGAGCTACATTTTCATTATAATAGGTATCATGCAGCTATGCTTTGCTGATTTCCTCACTTTTGGGGACCTCAGACATCTCAAACCATTTCCTCTCTATGTTGGTTGTTGATAGTTACATACTGTTTATAGCAGCATAGTTCTTGCTTTCTTGAGGTATCCAGGAAAATCAGAAGGCTTTACATGTAGTTGAGTAGCTTGGAAATCATGGCTGTGCATAGTGGGCTTTAAATTATCACCTCAATGTTTTTGCTGGGAATTTAACTGAAATTTAGTGTAGAAAATTTTAGGATTAAGACAGAATTAAACTTTTATGCATATGGTCTCTTCAGTTAGGTTTGTTTATTGTTAGTTGTGCTACTCTTCAATTGAGTTTTGTTTTGCTGGGTGGGGATAAGCATTTCGTATAGGAAGTTTTCCTGTAACTGCGAAGACAATCCTCTGCACACCAGTATGTGTCCCCTAGATGGCAGGAAAGGATCACTTTAACAGCGCCAAACCTGCATTAGCTTGTCTGCTTCAGCATCAGTGTGAGGGGTTTTAAGAGTACGTTGCCAAAATAAAGTGGTTGTGTATCAGTAGCTAAATCATGGGGACTGAGTAGATACAATGGAGAAAGCAGACAGGAGAGGGAGGCTGAATCATCCCTTCTGTGGAAGGGAAGCTTATGGTAAAACTGAAACTCAGTTCTGTGGCTTGAAAGCATTTTGTCTTAATCATTTGTGGCTAGAATTCTATTCCACACCATTTATTGTTGCTCCATCTGAGAACAGAGACGATAAAATGAATACAATACCTGTCATAGTTAATTTTTATACTAACCTCTGTCTCCTGTCCCTGACATGCTGCTCCTTTTTTTGAGATTTAGTCAATTGACAGTTGTTCCTCTAAGGGTCTGCAAAGTTATGCTACTTCTTGTCAGAAATTGCAAGGCAAATTGTCCATAACATTTGGAATCTGTAGTGTTCGACTTGTCGGTTGTATCTCTAAAATATACCTTTCTGTTTGTTTAGCTGTGATGAAAATTAGTAGCTTTTCCTATGTATTTATTGCCTATGACGGCTAAAGTCAGGTAAAATTACAGTTTTGTTGCAAGGTTTAGATCATCTTTAATGGTAAGCAGTGCTCAAAATAGCAATGGTCCCAGTGTGCAGTACTACCAACAGTGTTTCACTGTCCCTGTCGTTTTTTTGCATTTGATGTTATGTATGTCTCCTGTGAAATGGTGCGTAATTCTCACTATTTTGTATAATTGGTGATAAGTGTTCAGTATTTATCAAAAATGTATGAAATCAGAGAGCTAAGGAACGTAGTAGAGTGGTACCAAATGTTGCAGTTCATACAAATAAGTGAAGTATCTGAGATGCAGTTGTTCCTACAATATTTTCCTTTCTCTGAAGTTCAGATAGGGGTCAGAGGAGAGATTAGAAGAAAGATTAAACTGTAGTGTTGATATACTACTACTTGCTGAGGAAAGGGTTGGAATGGAGCAAGGAAGCACAGCATGCTACCAGTTCTTCAGTAATAATGTCATTTGGAAAGCTGTATGCGTTTGCCTCAGATTTGATAAATCATAGTAAAGAAAAATTAGTGCTGTTTAACAAAATAGTTTGCCAGCTTCTACTAAGGTGTATTTTATGGATGACTTGGATGAAGACAGTAGAATTTGTGCAGTCTTGGATTGTACCTGAGGCTTGGTTGCCAGTGCGAATTCTTGATGAGTGTTCATGATCACCTCCTTATGGTGGTGAAATGATGGTCTTCAACTATGTTACTTGTATAAAATGATCAAATAATGTCTTTTTTTTTTTTTTTTTTTGACAAAAGGACACTTTGGACACAGTAAAGGACACTGCTTTTCTCTGAGTAACCCAGAGGAGGTACTACGCCACATTCACCT